TTTTTTTTTTTTTTTTTTTTTTCTTTTTTTTTCCCCCTCTTTTTAAACTTAACCTTGATGGTTTGTCAATCAGTTAACATTTATTTTTTTTCTCTTTTTTTTCTCTTTCCTTTCTTTTAATTTAAACGTGGTTATTACAGTTAGATTGTTGAGCACAATTATTGATTTCTATGAGAGACTTTCGGGAGGCGCTATGAGACGAGCTTATATCCCCAAACTCGCTCGCCGACTTACCCTTACGTGGCAACGTCGTGGACTCACCTAACGAGGGTAATTCCCGCGGTTTCCAAATCGGCGAACCTTCAATCAATAACATGTATACATATATATATATATATATAGTTACGCGATAGATAGAATGGAAGAAGAATAACGCGATTAATTCTTCAATAATTATTATTTCTCTTAAGTGAAAAAAAAATTATTACTGGTAATAAAGAATGGATAAATATAGAATTGAAAAAGTTATTTTTTTATATATTCTTACCAAGTTCCTTGACCGTGATCGGTTGATAATTTTCCGGTTGATGAGAAGATTGGATCAGTCTCGCCTGACTACCCGTACTTCCTGCTGAAATTGTCGAAGTGGTGCTCAAAGTCAAATGATTCGGCGTACGGCCCAAATTCGCCTTCTTCTCACCTAAAAAAGCTTGCGAGTCTTCCTCACCCTCCGATTTCGTCCCCGAGTCCATCTCGACCTTTATCTCCCCTGTGCACGTTTAACGCGTCGACTTTTATATATTCCGTGAAAATCGGTTAAGAGTGAAGAGGTAAGCGAGATACGAGGTCTGCCTCGTCATGAGAAAAAACGATCTTACCGGATGTGTCGCTTATGGTCTTGCTCCGGGAGCGAAATGTCGTTTGCTGTTGGTTAATGGCCGAGGCCCCTGCCTCCTCGTTGTCCTTATCCTCGGAGCTCTCGTGCTCCACAGCCTGTTTCGATTGGCTGTATTTTCGCTTCACGTTGTGCGACGTTGTCAACAATTGCTGTTTCTTCTTGGACAACGTGGCCGCCCCACTGCCACCGTTGCCACCATTTTGCCCCACCTGGCTCGTTCCAGCCGACTGTTTCTCGAATTTCTCCACATGGCCGGTCGACATTCGTGGGGAAATGCTGATCGGTGGTTGGCTAAGATTTTGTTTCGTCGACGGTATGCTCATGTTCCGGACCGATTCTCGAATAATTTGACGTATCGTCCTCAAAAACGCGTTCCTGAATTCCGTTGTGCTGGGCAAATAAAATAATATCGATGATTATATAGACGATATGTATATATATCTTTTTGCATTCGAGATGTGATCATTCGGGCATCACTTGGATCGATAACTCGAACGACGACAATATTTATTTATTTGTTCGATCTTTTTAGAATATCGTGAATAAAATCCTAACCTCTTTAACATATAAGAATGATATGTATGTGAATTGATACGTAAAATATTACATATATAATATATAAAAGTTTTATACGTTAACTTCTGTGTGAAATCATTTCGTATTTGTAAGAAATTCAGAAAATGAGGAAAATTGTCTCGAGTTATTGATTCGACTGAATGCAAAGGGATATATATATATATATATATGTATATACTATATATGATACTTTGCGAATGAGAGAAACGTGTTTCGATTTCATGTGCCAATGTGTAATTACTACTACGTGCAACGAAAAGCGGATATCATATTTTTATATACGTAGAGCGTGAAAATGTACCTGTGTCGCGACAAATTAAGATTTGTCGGATTGATGCGGTTGATGTTCGGGGCAACAATGCATGTGTATGTTTTTTTTTTTTTTTTTTTAGAATTTTAAAAGAGGGAATAAATATAAATGTTTTAAACGATACCTGTTGGAAAGCACATATACTTTCTCCGATCTTCTCTGTAATTGACTTCTTAAATGGATCAATTCCCACAAGAAATGAGATTCCATGTCTTTGGCGGAGCTGGCTCTAACTTGCACTTCCGTTACAGGAATCAACACTTGATAACGTATTATCTCCACTTCGCTGGAGTTCGCTTTTGTCGATACTCCCTGATCAAAAAAAACGTATCACGTTTATATCACATTTGTTACGTTACGTCTGTATTCTCGAATGAGAATAAACGAATTTTATTTACCATAAGTTTCTTCTTCTGTCTCAATCTTTCCTTGCACAGGAATACGACGGCAGATTTGAAAACGAAACACATCGCGTGTAATTCCAGACCTTTCTTGATTTTACCAAGAAAGTCGGAAATATTGAGCCACTCGACACCTCCATAATACAAAAGATCTCCTGGGCTTAAATCTATCGGCTGAAATGAGAAAATAATTCGATATAAAAATTAAAGAATTGCCTTACTATTCATTGGTGGAAAAAAGTCTCACGGATCTGATTGGTCGAATGTGGGAGGAACCGCCTATTTTCATACGTATTTTTATTTCTGGCGTGGTATTTGTCACGTATATTAATTCGGATTGTGACAGAGAGAGGCAATAAAATGATGATCTGTATTCAAACTTCGATGCATTGGCGTAGACATAAAATTCAGTATTCTAATTCTAAATATCGATATAATATAAAAATTTTTTTATTTTTAATATGTAGGCTAATTTTGGTTCATAACGATAGTTTAATTTATTAATGTAATTTCGTATTTGTATATATACAAATAAGTTAGATATACCATAGATATATTAATATTATATTGAAATAATTAATAGGCTTTCAGTAGCAATGTATCAATAGGCGATCCTACAAAAAATTCCTCTTCTCTTTGTCCTACGAGACTTCTTATCACTAATGAATTATATATAGATTCATCTTTTAGATTATTTAATATATTTCTATAAATTATTCTTAAAATTATCGTAATTAATATTCTTATACTTACAATATACTTATAATCAAATCTTCTTTTATATAAATTACATTTATTATTAAATAGTTTTTTAATACTAATATTATTGCAAAAAAATATACAATTACGATTAAATTAATTGTAGAAAAATAATTTATTTTTCTAATTATAAAATATTCAATAATTAAATCTTTTGAATAAAAATCTATCAAAAATAGAAATCCACACAATTATCTTTTTTAATGGATAAATATAAAATATTTCTTATATTTCTAATCTTCTATTTATATAATGTATATACCTGCTATACATATAAATATTAATGATTTAAATATTATATGAATAAATAAACATAAAAATATTAATTCATTAAATCCTAAAGTTACTATTTTTATTATAAATCCTAATTGATTTAATATAGAATAAACAACATTTTTTTATGTCTTCAATTTGCCACTAATCCAGCAAACAATATTATTAATCTAGAAATTAACAAAATCACAATTTAATAAATCAACATAACGAATTAATAAATAAATTCCAGCTATAAAATTGAAGAACAAACTAGAGATGAAACTGGTTATTTACCTGCTTGCAAGATTTTTGATGTTGCCTAAACAAGTGATCGAAAATGGCTCCGTATTCTTCGTGAATTCTTTGCATCTCGTTTATATGCTCTGCTACTTTTTCCATACCTTTCAAAGCCTCTGCAATCCACGATAAATATACACATAATATATACATATATACGAATAAAAGAAGAGATAATTTTCTTTGCTTCTTAACGCTCGATTATATACAAATTTACCGATCAAGTGTTGGTGTTCTTCGCTCCTTTCGTCGGTGAGATTTCGAAGTTGTTGCAAGAGCAAAGGATATTTCAATATTCGTTGAATAGGTTTAATCAAGTACGATTCTAACGTCGACGAGTGTTGCTGCCTTGGATTTCGCGCTTGCAGGAACTCTTGTAAAGCTTGGTTTCCTTCATCTGTAACGGATACGATGATCTTTTCTCTTTTTTTTTAATCAATTCGCAAATAGGCAACCCGTCGAAAGGATTAGAATTTCTCTTACTTACTTGGATGTAAAACCTTTTGCGCCTTTGAGTGGCTAGCACAAAACGAACTGTACAACTTGAAATGATTTACGTAATACAAGAAGGCACTTCCAATGGAAAACAGGACACCCTTTTTTTTTTCAAAATGACAAAAAGATATAGTAGATTTTTTTTTCAGAAATTTTATGAATTTATATTATAGCAAAAAATATATAATAAAGCGTACCTTAAATTGACTAGGATGATCGAAATTATTGAAATCAGCTTCCATCTCGATCGCGTGATCAAGATTTTGTAGAAATTGCCGTTGAAACGTAACAATCTCTTGTATGTTCCCGAACAATGCGTTTATCTCTGCATTCGATAGGAAGGTTTCGCGTTTAAGGGGCTCTAAGTAGTTCTCCAACAAATTATTTAAATTCTGAAACAATTAATTTCGTGTAATTCGAGTTTTTTTAACAAGCGCGAGTTTTTTAACAAAATTTTCTCACCTTCACGTAAGTACGTTCAGTCTCAATTAATTCTAGAATAACTTTCTTCAGTTTCTCAGCATCGCTCAGCTGCCTGCTCGGCGTCAGAGCTTGGGAATGAGAACTAACAACGCTTCCGGTTGGGCTCGACTTTCGCGTTTCACCAGGCGATCGACAGATCCCCGTCACTTGTTCCGCCGTTTTTAACAAATTCTCTATCTCGAACGAATTCGTCCGAGACGTTTGTTTGCCATTCTCCATGTGAGATGTCGTCGTGCACTCCTGCATAATACTTTCTTTGCCTGTGTATTACATATTATATATTATATATATATATATTTTTTTCCTTCGATAAATAATATAATATGAAAGATTCAGAAGCCAATATAAATATATATCTTCGATATTAAAATTCTATTATTCAATTTGGCTACTCGATCGAAAGAATAATAAATGAAACTTATACTTTGAATAACAATACATTATAATTCCATATAATTAATAACTTAACGATTTATCGATCGATATTATACGTTATTTAT